TGAACCATTTAAAAATAATAATTCCCAATCTGTTTAAGTGCTACGTGTCAAAATTATTTATTTCTTCTTTCTTTTTTTAATTAATGGGCCCCTTAACACCATCCTTTCCCTTCACTTTTACCCTCCCTCTCCCTGTTTTTCTTCCCCAAAACCCCTCCCTATTCTTCTTCGTTGATGTCCTTTCCCCCCTTCCCCATTTTCCTCTTCTTCCCTACCACTTTTTCCCTATCTTCTTTCTCCACAATTTTTAGACTAACAATAATGTAAAATAGTTAAAAAGAATCTATATCTAAGAGAATTTTACAGATCTAGGTTTGAATCATAATTAGTAGTAATAATTTAGGAATACAAATTTAATATGGTAGAGTATTAATTTGGTGGTGGGGGGATATCGGAGATGAGCCAAAAGAAGCCGAGATTTGACCGACTCTAATTTGTTAGGCCAAATACCTATGCGACCCCTTAAACTTGGCTCCGGCTTTCAATTTAACACTTTAACTAAGACCAATACCTATTGAACACTTAAACCTTATCTTACTTATATCTATTAAACACATTTTGTATAACCCTCAACAAACTTCAAAGCGTGAAGTTACTTGCCATTGACCTAACAAATGATACCAATATGAAAAAGACAAGTCAGCAGAGAAAAAGAAGAGTAAAAAATCTAGAAAGGAAAAAAGAGAAAGAGAAACGGGTTTCATTCCATCTGCTTAAACGCGGAGTATTGGGGAGAGTCTTCTATGGAATCTGATTTCTTTCAAGCTCTGCAGCAGATTGACGATGTATGAGATTGGTCCATTGACTAAAAAATAAATATCTGAAGACAAAATAATTTGAAGTTCAGGAAAAATTTGCAAAGCTTCATGGTCGAAAAATTCTCCATCGTCGTCTTCTTCGTCAATCTCATACTTCACCAATTTTCTTTGATCCAGTTTCTGATCAATTTTAGCTATCTCATCAATTCAACCTTCTGAGTCAACTTGTTCTTTGACTCTGAATTTTTAAATCTCCGTTTCATGTAATGAGGGAAGAAAAAGGATCGAGGCTGGTGGTGGCAGTGGTGGGTAGGGAGGAGGGTGGTGTGCGAAGAAAGAAGAACGAAAGAAAATGGTCGCACCAATGGCGGAGGAGCGGCAGTAATGGAGTTAATAAGGTGGTGATATGGTTTCTTTAGAAAAGGGGGTTTTATTTAAATAAAAAAGAAGAAAAAATATAATTTCAGATCCATTCACGCGCTTAAGAGTGGTGAAATACACATTTTTTGCCATGCCAGCTATTGTGTTTAATAGGCACAAGTAAGACAGGGTTTGAGTGTTCAATAGGTACTTGACTTTAGTTAAAGTGTCAAAATGAAAACTGGAGCCAAGTTTAAGGGGCCGCATAGGTATTTGGCCAATTTGTTACTTACAAACCATTTTGTAAAGTTGTTCTTTGTTTGCTTGCGCTTTCATCACTGGGGTTGGTTGCTTATTTCCATTGAATAATACCATGGATTCTGGTTATAATCAACTGCCAAAACATCAAGATTTTTGCGTTTATCGGAGAAGATGACGGCGAACTGAGCAGTCATAGATCTGACCATAACTAACTTTAATGGAGTTTTGCATTCTATTTCTTGTGTTAGAATTGAATCTGGACTCGAAAACTTGTGACTAATGTACTAGGGTTCCTAATTTTGGTTTGTAAACGGAAGGGGGTAATTGTGGGTTGTTTTATGGTGGTGGATGTCAATGGAGATAAGGTGGAGAAGAGAAAGAGATGGAAGGGAGAGCAGTTAAGGGTATACTTGTAATTTTATATTATATATTATTTTATTTTAAAAAATAATGACACGTGGTACTATATTATTGGTGTGTGACATGCCTCATTTTTTCTAGAGATGCTTAAACATAAAAGTGGTATGTATTAGATACACTATGAAAAGGTTGAGTGTGTAAGGTTATTTTTGTTTGCAAAAAGTGTGTAACAGGGATTTGGTCCATAGTTGAGGTGGTAACTTATGCATTTTGCCTATAAAGATATTAAATCTTCTCATTATTTATAGCCTCAATATAACTAACCGCTTTCGCGAATACTTTAGAAACTCAATAAGTTTCTTTGAAACTTACTACAACACAATGCCCTATTAATAATCAATTATATTCCTCAGAAATAGTAATAATTGGCTCTTCCAGAGCTCTCAATTAATTTTGTATTACCATATATTCATCAACATCTATGCGATGAATATCTTTTAAAGAGAAAGTTATACCATTATGGTCATGGTCAAAATTATATGCAAATTTTGTTTCTTGCATTACTGTTGTCCTTTAATAATAACATTGCCAAAATATTTTGGCGTATAATAGGTACGTGACCAATGACCATTCATGTCATAATAATGACATTATTTTCTTATTTCGTCTCAAACCTTCTTCTAGAGGTGAGTGGGGTCTATTCACTACCACTAGCACGTTCATATTCTTCCAAGAATAAAAATGTATTCATAAATCACATGTTATCACATTCACATCATGAATGGACCATAATCATTTATATGTGCTTTATAAAATCTCATGTCAAATCGATGACAAACATTACTTTCATAGAGTGAAGGATTATTTTGAGAATCCTTATTATTCTCATTACCATAATGATGAAGATTATGATTTTGTTTATTGCCACGTCCATATCCATTGATACTTTCACGGTAATAATTTCGTTTTTGTGCTCATAATCATACATGAATTTGATCATGGCAAGACAAAGAAATTATATCACTTCAAGTGGTTATAATTTCTTACAAACTCTATTAGAGTTATAATCAAACTTTGTTGTCTTTATTTGTATTTAAAATTAAATTATAAAATTTCAAGAGTTTAGAAGAGAAAAATAAGGTAAAATACTTACCTTCAATCCAGAATTTATTCCTGAAGGAAGTTAATGGAACAATTGATAATCATTATACTCAATATTATATACATGTTGAGCACCATGCATGTATTCCAAAGCCTAGTGACCAAAGCAGATGCATATACTCAATTGGTTAGAGTCCCGTGCTGATAACGTGTTATAAAACAATAAAAGAAGATGAGTATTATAGAGAAAAGTAGTGGGACAGAATTCTTATTGATTTTGGATCAATTACAATGGAATAGAATCTCTCTATTTATAGGAAAAAAGTGACTTAGCCACCAAGTAACAAATTATAAAATCTCTTTAAAATACAGACATTCACCTTAAATACAATTCTATTCATAACAAGAACCATATTATCCAGTTAGAAAATGGGTAACCAATGGAAAACTAATGAGTTTAACTTTTATATTTGTAAACCCTCAATTTGGAGATTTCTCAAGTTTGGGAGACTAGCTAGGATTTCTCCCAAAAGTGATCATATTCAAGAAATCATGGATAATATGGATATCTATATTATCTGTCGGTTAACCCGTTTTTTATCTCTATTAAATATGGATCAGGTCGTATAACTTATCCGTTTTTGCATTACCCGTTTTCGAACCAACCCATATCTGACCTGACCTGCCCGTTTGCCACGACCCAAGATTGTACGCGTTGCACTGTTGATTATTCGTCTTGTAAATGCAAAATATTTTATTTTTACATTTTATTTTAAGTATTTGACTATATATTATTGTATTGTATAATAAGCAAATCGTTGACTTAAAACGTTATTATGTACCTAATTATTTGGCCAAATACATATACAGCCCATTCAACTTGGTCTCATTTTTTATTTTGGCACTCTATCTCAGCATTGTTCTATTTGGCCCTCCTACTCTATTTTTTATGTTTCACTTTAACACAAAAGCTGAAACCAGTGCAAAAAATATAGCGCGTGTGTATACACAAATATGAGGTGTAATAAATATCCAATTAAATGTTACCACCTGATTTTTTCATCTTTGTCAAACGGGTCAATACTAAAATACCCGACCCAATCGTATTTGGGTAAAATTAAGTCCGCTTCTTATTTACACAAGAAAATGACAACATTGAAAATGAAATTTGAAAATGGTTCACGTACATTGTCAAATTTACTCCCATAAAGCGACGACCTGGATTTCTTGGTGTCCATGATACTTTCAGTTCAACTTGAAGTCCAGAAGAACAAATATCCATTCCATTATGAAAAAATAATTTTCTTTGAGACATGGATTCACTTCAAACTTCAAGCTTATATGAAATAAACTCACACAGAAAAATTAATCAGAATAAATAAACGAATAATAAAATTGCAAAAGTTTGAAGTTTTCTAGATGGCCAGGTATGAAATTGGCAAATGAAAGCTTTGGAACTTTGAGAATGAATATGGGGCAACAATGAATGGGGAAGGAAATAATGAAGATAAAATAAGGGGGAAGGAAGTTGGAGATTAAAAATGGGGCCAACAGTTATTTTATTACTGTTGAAAGAATTTTGCCAAAACAAATCTGCCTCACGCGCCTACCAAGTGAGCCAACTCACACTATGTGTCAGTTTTTTGTATTAAAGTGAAACATAAGAAATAGAGTTGGAGAGCCAAAATGGAACAAGGTTGAGATAGAGTGTCAAAATGAAAAATGGGACCAAGTTGAATGGGATGTATATGTATTTGGCCTAATTATTTTGACATATTTTTCCTTTAAACTATACATTAATGTCTTATTCATACTTTATCTACTATCATATATTAAAATCATAAAGGACTAATCACGCCACTTTGTACATTCACTTCTTAAAATACTAATCCATCTTAAATTGAAACATTATAATATTAGAATCATCAAACTTGAAAAAAATAGAAAGGCTAAAAACATGACCTTTAAGCTAGGTTCCACATTTTCCATACTCAATTGTAGTACAACTTAACCTATATTAAATTATTATTGTAATGAAATGAAAAATCATAAAAATAAAAAGATTAATTCCAATTTTTCACCATCCATCGAACGGCTCTAATTCACTCAGGTTTTCTCCACACAAGTATAAATACATGGCATATATGGCTTCTCAGAAACTCAAACGACTCTTTTTACGCAGCTCTCTTTGAACCTTTCTTTCTTCAATCTCTTCTTCAGTAAGCAGATCCGAATTCCGAAGCTCATATTATGGCAACTATCAAATCCCTTAAGGCCCGTCAGATCTTCGATAGCCGTGGTAATCCTACGGTTGAGGTTCGTTCTCTCTCCACTTCATCCCTTTTCAATGCTTCCCAATTCCCATGCATGCTAAAAGTTTCTATTGACAAAATGGTTAGGATAATTGATTTTTATGCTTGGGTATATATATATGTGTGTAGGTTGATGTCCATTTGTCAAATGGTGTTTGGGCTAGAGCTGCTGTTCCTAGTGGTGCATCCACTGGTAAGGATAACACTCTGTTTCATGCATTGTTCTCTTTAGCTGTGATATTGGGTTAACAGTAAATTTTTGTAATGATGGTGATGTTCGGGCCTACTTTCATGTATCTCGACTATTCCACTAATTACCTACACATGTACCGGATAACTCTGACCTCAAAGGCTTAGGCAGATGAGAAGAATCATCTGATTCTTTTTTTGCCTTTGCTGGGATTATATTTTAACTTAGACCTCATGATTGGGTTAGAGAATTTTCAACCCATTGATTTTAGTATTTTGGATAAAAATGGGTATGAATAGAGCGGAATGGATGTAGAGAATTTATATAGCTAGCTAACCCCAACTAGTTTGTAATTGAGGTGTAGTTTATTGATTGAAATTGATTATGTTATTCTTGTCATTGAAATGAGATTTTCTTACTTGCTAGAAGATTTTGTGGAACTCTTTCTTTCACAACTCCACTGATTTTACCTTTTTTGTTATGATTGTTTGTTTGGATATGCTGATGATTAGTAAGTTACTGGGTCTTCTTTAGTGGGTGCATTGTGCTAGTAGCATTACTTTAACTGATGCATCTCTAGAGTTAAACCATCCCTCGTGTAAAAAATGAATTGCAAGGCAATTATCATAACAAGGTACCCAGTGGTATAGTCGAGATTTCTGAAAGTAGGCCCGGACACCACCATTATCGAGAAGAAAAAAAAAAGGAATTGCATGACCAAATGTATTTCCAGCAACTTAATTTTGTGACCATCATTGTTCTTGCATCTTTCTAAGATGGGTGAATGATAAATCCTCTTGAGCGACATTGATCCTAGAACCACATTAGGTCCCTTTGGGTGGGAGTACAAATTTTGCTTACCTCATTTCTGCGTTAACCAGTGTTTAATTTATTGACATTGTCTCTTCTTCTTCTTTGAATTTCTTAAATTCAATCTTTTACTTCATTTAATAGGAATCTATGAGGCCCTCGAGTTGAGAGATGGAGGGTCTGACTACCTGGGAAAGGGTGTTTCAAAGGTAGGTATTACATTGCAAAGTGCCTGTATTGTGATTGTGTGGTTACCTGCCGATTACTCATTTGCCATGTTATGTTCTTGTAGGCTGTTAACAATGTCAACTCAATTATTGCTCCATCTCTCGTTGGCAAGGTTTGTTTTCTCCACTATTTACTTCCTTTGGCAACGTTTGTTTTCTCCACTATTTACTTCCTTTGTGTATGGAGTATCTTTTGTGTAAAACATTGTTGCTGGTTCATTGCTTAGGTGAAGGGAAAACTTTGGAGCTATATTGTACGGATAACGTATTTGATATGCAAGTTATTATTATTCTGCAGGACCCAACAGACCAGACTGGTATTGATAACTTCATGGTTCATCAGCTTGATGGAACTCAAAATGAGTGGGGTTGGTGCAAGCAGAAGGTATTCGAGAGAATATGATCTAAGCATTAACTTCACTTGCTATTTCCAAAAGGTCTCCAATCACCAATTTACCTGCATTTACTTTTTTCCAGCTCGGCGCAAATGCCATCCTTGCTGTGTCACTTGCAGTGTGCAAAGCTGGTGCTGCTGTCAAGAACATTCCGCTTTATAAGGTACATATTGCCTAATGAAGTTCATGGATTCTAATGCTCATTGTTCCTGTAATCAACATCTTAAGTCTGCAAATGGAGCCTCAATAAGCAAGATTGAGATCCCAAGGACCTCCATTTCCCTATCCAACATGGGACTAACCTCTATATTTTAAATTTGTCATTCTCGTTTACATGGATAAGTACTTCAGTTGAAGTTCATTTTAACTGATAAGATCTCTAGCTCACTATGTTTCTCCTGGATAGTGCAATTAGGGGTTTACTTGCGATTGGATTCATCTCTGATCATGAGTTACGTACGATTTGAACTACCTATTTGCAGCATATTGCTGACCTAGCCGGTAACAAGAAGTTGGTATTGCCTGTTCCTGCTTTCAATGTGATCAATGGTGGATCCCATGCTGGAAACAAACTTGCTATGCAGGCATGTTATATTTCTGTGTTGATAATGTAGTTAAGTCTTTTTAGGTAATAAGATTCTCATTTGTATTTATCTGCAGGAATTTATGATTCTTCCAGTTGGAGCTTCTAGTTTCAAGGAGGCTATGAAGATGGGTTGTGAAGTGTATCATCATTTGAAGGTTTGACACAGTTGTCCGGCTTCTATTACCTTCATAAATTTTTTTTATCAAACAGCCCATTGACAATATGTGCAACGTATCATGAAAGATGGTGATATTTTCTTTTATTGATTAGCTCTATTCAGGCTTGCAATGGAGTATTAACATTGTCCCAAAAAGTTCCTTATCCTCATTGATCTGGATCTTTCTGTAAACAAACTTCTATTTTATAGGCTGTGATTAAGAAAAAGTATGGACAAGATGCCACTAATGTTGGTGATGAGGGTGGTTTCGCTCCTAATATCCAGGTGAATATAATCGTATGCTGGTTACAACAATTTGTTGAATGTTTACCTTCTTTCACATATTATTGTTTATAAAATTCAGGAGAACAAGGAGGGCCTTGAATTGCTCAAGACAGCCATTGATAAAGCAGGTTATACTGGAAAAGTGAGTTCTTA